TCTATATAAGAGAATTCTATATCTCGAGTGCGCGTTAATTTTTTTTTTTTTTTGATTTTTTGATTTTTTTTTTTTTTTACGCGCTAGCTGTTATTGGACAGCCTAGATACTTAAGCATTTATAAAATATACTCTTATAAACGGTTTAAACTTTATAAAATTTTAATATACATTTTCTTAATGGTTAACATAGGATTGATATCCGTACAAAGATAATTCACCCTATAAACTACGGTTATTTTTCTAAAAATCAGGTTTGTTTCGTTTGTTTTTCTTTTTCCTTAATATTGATTCCTTCATACGCACAATTACTGCCATAAATGATTCATGCGTGCTGTGTTAGATTCCAAATAAACATTGGTTCGCGTTTTAGTGGGCGTAAATGGAGATTTACTTTTCTTACCTTTCATGTGTATTTTTACATTTGCATATGATTTTTGTACCACCTTCCAAAAACCGTAATTGTTAGAACTCATTCATGCAAAAAAAAAAGTTATAATTTCTATATTATACCTTAATTATATATGATACCGAAATGTGTTTCATAATTGCATAAAGCTTATAATTTTTTTAACGTTCTTCTACTTTACCATAGCCACGTCAACGATTTTTTATCGATGAAGATAATGTGTGTGTAACAAATCAGGTACGAAAAAGGATTATCGTAAATCGCGTCTGAAATCTTTGGCACGTGATTCATACCTTAACGACGCGTTTTTTTTTTGTTTCATCAAAAGTGTATCTATTTCACGATAAAGTCGACAACCGGCCTTCCTCCCCATTTCTTTCTCGGTCTCCTTAATTCTACTACCATTCAACACTTTCTGTCACATCATTGTAAATACGATCAACAAGGAAGGATGAGACTTTTCCGCGAAAATATGGCAAAAATACCGTATGCAGCACCAACCAACCGTGATGGAATTGATTGGTTCATTAGATGCACGCAAAAAATGATAATAGTTCGCCAAATGTTATACGAGGGGATTGGAACATGTGAAGATGAAGAAAAAGTTGGAGGAGCAGTGGTCGAAAAATTAAGAAGAGGAACATGGCAATTGACAGGTCGTGAATGGCAAGAAAAGGAAAGTGATGCATATAATAATGAAACGAGTGTTGTTTTGAGGGAAGAACAAGAAGGAAATTGGGTCATGGTTAAACAATGCCGTGGTAGAGAAGAAAGCCTTGATTATTCATTATGCCCAGAATTTGAAGATGAACAAGGAGCAGCAAGACAGTCAACCGAATGTTATAATAGATATTCTTCTTCGGCTGGAATGTCCGTGATGAATGAGCATCGAACTACAAGGGGGAGCACGACAAGAACCCACTTCTTAAAGCCATTTTTTGAATCTCTCTTGCATGCTTCAGCTTGCCTTCAATACGTAATAGATCAATATGCTTACTCATTATATGGAATAGATGCCAAATTTCAAATTGCTTTAGAAGAAGAATTAAAAATCGAAAACTTTGATATTATAATTACCAAATTCCCCCGTTGGAACGGTAACATAAGTAATGGCCACGGTGAAGCAGAAACAAGAGGAGTTGTACCAGAGTGGGGTGAAAGACTCTTACTAGAAGTCGACCAAGCGATTAAAGGAGGTGAGAATCTGTTACGTCAGAAAAGAGGGCCCATAATTAACCGAAATTGAAACAAAAAAAAAAAAAAACCAAAAGATTGTACAAAAGCTTCCGTAGGGGGAATTTGTAAAAAAAAAAAAAATCAAAAAATCAAAAAAAAAAAAAAATTAACGCGCACTCGAGATATAGAATTCTCTTATATAGA